CCCCTCCTTTTGCTCCCTGCACTTAGTCACTCCCCCCTCAGAGCGCGAATAAAACTATCAGGTTTGTCGAGTCGCTGTGTACAGTTTTGCGTCACGTTTTCGCGTGGGAGTTTGTTGATGTTGCGCTGATTTTGTATAATACCCCCTCTTTGAAGCAAACACCATTATTCCTTGCTGAAAATGACATTCTGTTGCGATTTTCCGCGAAGACTCCATATATTTTTATTACAAATCGCCTTCACATTCCTTACATTTTTAAACCAATCTGCCATCGCTCCGAACGTCACTTCTTGTATTCATTTGTTTGACTTGAGATGTTAAGTAAGCTAACTGCGGGAGTTTGGACGTCCTCCCCTCTGCGTGTCCAGGCAGGCGCACACTGTACACGTTTATCCTGTGTCTGTGTGCGTGTGCGTGAGTCTGTGTGTAGAGTTTTGTGCACAGTTGTCATGATTTCTCCGAAAATCTGTCAGGAATGTAGCCGTGCAGCCCAACCCTTGTGATGTGGTCTCATGTGAACTCATCCAGGTCTTTGATAGTTTCTTTAGTTTCTTGGTCTTGTTCTGGAGTTTTAGAATCGGGCAGCACTGTGCTTCTGTAGGGCCGGGTATCATTCAGAAGTGGCGGATACGACACATACCTCGATACAGTGAGCTTACGATTCAGTACGTTATATTTCAAAACAATTCGATACGGTTCAATAAAAAATAAAGGCTGGCTGTGATACTAAAAGTCTTTGTCAAACCACTTCTTGTGCAAACTGAATATGAAACACACCCACTTTACTCATCAAAACAGTGAAAGTGCCGAATGTGTCACGTAAACGGTTTCCTTTCTCTAAACAAACAACAAAACTGTAGCGCCGTAACAAAATAATTTAGTAAAATATACCAAAAAATACTCTTGGAGATATATCGATACAGCAGCCCACGATATCGATACTTTATCATCACATTAAATCAGTGTTTCCCAAACTTCTTTTCTCCGGGACTCATATTTTAAAAGGTGATATAAATAAGGTGGATTTGACCATTATTGAACATTAATGAGGATATTTTATTGTTGACTGAGTGATCGAGTCTCTCTAAACCATTAATATTACTCAAATTTAAAACAAGGAAAAACAGTAATTGAAGCAGCAATAAAAGGATCCATAAGTCGCCTATTTGGACAGTAAATGTAGCCCATTTCTTTTCCTTTTCAACATTCAACTGAACCAGCAATACTGGAACAAAATAGTCAATAAAATAATTACAAAAAGATTAGAAATTATACAAAACATGTCTTAACATTTCAACGTTTCTAATGAGATAGGTGGGCCTGTGTGCGTTTTTGTAGCTCGTTCCAGTCCGGGCGCAGGAGAAGAACGCAAAACGCAGATCAGGCGCAGCATTCAGTTTGTTTTTGTGCTTTGTCTTCATTTTTGTGAGCACAGAAAATCCAATTTCACACATTTATGTAGTAGTGAAAGGAATAAGCATAGAAATACTGTCATAAGTGTATATTGCAGACCTTCATGCAGATCGTGACAAGGCAACCCAAAAAAAATCTCTTGAGACCTACCTGAGGGTTTTGACCCAGTCTTTGGAAAACAATGCATTAAACAATACGATATATTGATATTTCAATATTTTGATTGATAATGCAATATTGGTTATAGTTTTTAAAAAGGACACAAATGCTAACTTTGTGAAACACCAATAAATACTGTATATTCATTTAGCAGACTTGGATGGAGCAGTCTGTCTACAGAGCCAAAGGGGACCCTCACAGTGAGGCTGTGCGGCTCATATATATATATATATCTTCTAAGACACATAGTGACAGAATGTTTGTTTAATGAGCCCAGGGGGAGAAGACATTTGACAGACTGAGTCATCTTTAAACAGATGGAGGTACAACACAGGCATATGTGACGGTCCTGTCACACTGCACTGTAAAAAGAACGAAACCTCTGCACCAATAAGACTTTAGTCATATGGATGCTCTCTCTGTGGCTTTACGGGCGACAGTATATTGGCATTTATTTGTTTTGATGGTACATAAACAGTGGTAGAAGAAATGCTCAATTTTGCAAAAACAAAAATAAAACATAAGCACTCATTTAAAAAGATACTTAAATCTTAAAAAGTGTAAAGTTTTCTTCATGTATTTTGAGTATAAAACATCAAATGGTGTGATTTTGGTTTGATTTGTGCAGAATTTTGTTCACCAGAAACAAATGAATCAATCTTTTCAGTTTTTTGTTTTTGCTTTTGGGTGTTTTTGTTTGCTCAAAGTACAAATGTGTTAAAAGTAACACTGTCAGACTTTTCAGCAAGTCTCATACAATAATGAAAACATCCGTCCATCCATCCATTTTCTTCTGCTTGTCAAGGGGCCGGGTCGCGGGGGCAGCAGTCTAACAAAAACAGTCCAGTTAAAAAAAGCGGAAAGTACAGATACCTGCTTTTAAATGTAGTGAAGTAAAAATAAAAAGTATCCACTTGAAAATGTACTTAAGCACAGATACCAGAATTTCCACCACTGTTTATAAAATACCGTATTTTTCTGACTGCAAGTCACATTTTTTTTCATGTTTGGGTGTTTCCTGTGACTTATGCTTCGTTATTTATATATTAAAATTTTCACACTGACAGCCTCAAGAGGGCGCTCTAGGCTTGTATGTCAGTATCAGTTCCTCCTGTTACTCCTGTACCACTGTCACTTGGCTCTACTGCGCATGTCTCCTACATGTGTCCTGCTGCAAGTAGTGACAAATTCAGCCGCAAACGGTAAGCGAGCAGCAGAAAGAAAGTTTGGAGTGAGAGAGAAACTTGTGAGGGACTGGCAGAAAGCGGGGATGGAGAACACAGCTTCATGGTGCGCAATGCAACTTTCCTGGAAGTCACTGGATGGATGGACAAAGCCTGGACTTCAGTAACACCGAAACCATCCTGTCGGGATTCAGAAAGACCAGAATAATTCTAACTGGAACTGATGCTGAGTCTGACGACAGCGACACAGAAGAGGAAACAGTGCTCCGTTTACCTCTGGAGGTCACGGAGTTGCTCAGAAGTGACACAGAGGATGAAGAATTGAATGGATTTAGTGATTTGGAGTGAGATGGAGAGTTTGTTGTCTGTTGTATGTTATATTTATCTGAAGAACTGTTCATATGTGACGTTAACAGTCTGTTGTTCTCTGTTCTATTGTTGTTACTAGAACTTGACTTTCAAGATGAAATGTCGGTTCTCGGTCTTCTGATTTTATAAAATAAATTTCCCCCAAAAAGTGCCACTTTTTTCTTCTTCATTACGCATTTTTTGGCTGGTGCGACTTATACTCCGGAGCAATTTATAATCCAAAAAATATGGTACATCTAGCCTTGCACTGTCACAAGAACAGGTTTCAAGGTCATTTTAAAAAACATCTGTAATTGAACATTTCCATGAGACAAACAGGTTGCATATCCTCCAACAGAAAAGTTACTGAGTGCTAACCTTGCACAGATGGATTCTCATGAATACACAAACTCACAAGAATCCATCATGCATTTGTGGAGAGGAAGATACTGTATCTGTTCTTTTCCCCCAACTGGATCTAACTCAAGTTTGATTTCTCAGCTTGCTCTGCAGTTGTGACGCTTCCATCAATCAACATGGAGTATGAACCTCCTGATAGGTCCTGATTGTTTTCAGTGAGAGCCGTTCCAGATTGATGTGTAGGACTCAATTCAGAGTGCCACACATCAGTCTGGAGTTATCCAGGTTAACATAGTGCACCTTTAATCACAAGACAAATTATAATTGCAGCACTGGTTTAAAATGAATACAGCTCATGGCTTTTTATCATTTGTTTTGCCCAGGCTTTATTTTATGGTTTTGTCCTCCAACAGAACAAACACTAATAGGATTTATAACCGTGAATAGGCCCTCTACAGTATGGCTTCAGCCTGTTCTGTGTGCTGAGACAATGGTTATGCGTTAGCCCAGAGCAGGGGTCTCCAACCTTTTCCACTGGTGAGCTGCCTTTACAGAACGAAAATGCCAGAGAGCTGCTGATATTAGCGGTCACAAGAAATTTGAGTAAATATAAGAGCTGAGGCCTTATGGGGTACAGTTAGATGCCTATAAAACATAAACCATTATCCATTTATTAGTGCACAAAGTTTGGTATCAAAATGATGCATTTATGATTTACGTTAACCCATCACATCCCCTAAAAAGCCTAAAAAAATAAATAAATAAATGAAAACAGTCCAGACGTCATCCCATATGGTCCCGGACAGGTTCATCTCGATGTTCCCGATGTTCTTCCAATTGCGAAAGGTTTCTATGTTCCCCGTTAAAACCGCGGGCCGTCCTCATCTCAAGTTGTCACCATGAACTCATAAAACAGCAGCGTGTACAACTTTGTACAAACTCACGGCACATCAGCCCGGAGCAGAAGCTCTGAGCTCGGGTCACAGCAGCAGACTCTGTTTGGATCATGCAGTTCATTTTTTAAGTTGATTCAGTTGAATAGGGCCTATTTAGTTTAGACTGTCTGTGACATTCACCGTGGTGTCTTTTTCTTTCTCTGTATTACTCAACAGTTCGGAAATGGGGACCCCTGAATATTGACGGTATTTCACACACTGATGGCAGCTCCACTTGTCTTGTCAGCTTCAACCGGGATCCAATACAACTGAACCCGTGTCTTTATCTCTCTGCTTATTACAGCTCTGTGCACAACACTTTTTTGGCATGTGTCTTAATGTGAAAATTAAAAATTAAAGGAACGACTCGAAAATGTTCTAACTTTACAATAGCGGTCTATTGGTGCTCTGACTCACCGGATCACTGGAAGTGGATCAGGGCGAAGCCGTGACGCCGCATACAGGGTCTCTATTGGCATTTAGTTCATCACATTTTAGTTATTCAGCACAATATATATAATTCAGAAAGGAGAGCTACAGGTTGGAGACCCCTGGCCTAGAGGAGCTTTGTGCTAATGTTATGTATCTCTGTGTGTTCCAGGGTGTGGAGGGAGGCCAGGGATCGCATCGTGGGCTTCCCCGGACGCTACCACGCCTGGGACGTCAACCACCAGTCCTGGCTCTACAACTCCAACTACTCCTGCGAGCTGTCCATGGTGCTGACCGGAGCCGCCTTCTTCCACAAGGTAAACACTGGACATATGTTCATGATTTTGATGATTGTGTGTGCAGATGGGAGTAGGGGAAAGTCTCAGTAGATCAGAGAGTCTTATAAAGTTCAGAGGATCAGGTTATTCTCTGTTCTTTAGGCCAATTTTGCAGTGTTTGTGCTGACTTCTGATGTCTTATTCTAAATATTTGGTCTATTAATTGGAAATACAATATGGTTACTGTATTTTTCGGACTATAAGTCACACTTTTTCATGATTTGGGTGGTTCTGTGACTTATACTCGGAACTTATATATTAAAATTTTCAGACAGACAAGGCGCTCTAGGCTCGTGTGTCAGTATCTAGTACTACTCCTGTACCACTATCACTTCGCACTCTACTGCGCATGTCTCCTGTAGAAATAGCAGCTGTCCCGCTGCAAATAGTGAAATATTCAGCCGAAAATGGTAATCGAGCAGCAGAAAGAAAGCTTGGAGTGGGTGAGAAACTTGTGATTGACTGGCGGAAAGCAGGGACACAGCTTCACGGCAACCGGGCGGGTGTGTCATGTAACTTTCCTGGAAGTCACCGGATGGATCGACAAAGCCTGAACTTCAGTGACACCGAAACCATCCTGTCGGGATTCAGAAAGACCAGAATAATTCTAATTGGAACTGATGTTGAGTCTAACGACAGCTACACAGAAAAGGAAGTGGCACTCTGTTTACCTCATGGATCAATGGTTTATCTCCGGAGGTCGCACAGAAGTGACACCGAGGATGAAGAATTCAATGGATTTAGTGATTTGGAGTGAGATGGAGAGTTTCCTAAACTTATGTTATGTTGTTTATGCTATAATTATCTGAACAACTGTTCATATGTGACGTTAACACCTGCCTGATGTTCTCTATTCTGTTGTTATTACTAGAACTTTCCTTTCAAGATGAATTGTCAGTTCGTGGTCTTTGATTTTACAAAATACTTTTCCCCAAAAAGTGAGACTTATAGTCCGATGTGACTTATATGTTTTTTCTTCTTCATTGTGCATTTTTTGGCTGGTGCGACTTATACTCCTTATAGTCCAAAAAATATGGTATGTAGATTATTCCAAGCAATAACGTAGAGACAAAAAGACAGAAGGTTAAAAGGTTATGAGTTTTATATTATTTCAATAATTGTAGAAGTGAAAAAGTTGAATCAATTTTATTTCAAAGTAATAATACTCTTGAATATACTCTTTGCTCATCTTTGACTGTTGTGGTTATGACTGTAAACTAATGCCCCCGTGTCCTCGTCCTCTGCAGTACTACGCGTACCTGTACTCGTACGTGATGCCCCAGGCCATCAGGGACATGGTGGACGAGTACATCAACTGTGAGGACATCGCCATGAACTTCCTGGTGTCACACATCACCCGCAAACCACCCATCAAGGTCAGTGACGGAGCACTCAAGAGCACCCACAGCACCCAGGAGTACCCCCCAGAGGGACGCATTTCTGTTTCAGCCCACGCGACTCTGCACTTAGTGACAGCTTCAATACAGCACAGCAAAGAAACATCTATACAGGCTCTTGAAAATATAAATCATCACATCTCGCTACTCATTAGGCTGTATTAAACATAATAAACCAGAAGAGAAATAATTTGTAATAGTCTGAAAAGGCTCTGCAGACGCTCCGGTGTCTGTAAATCGAGCGTCTGCAGTTCAAAAACACATTAGTCGTGTGCAACAGTAATTAAACATGTCAGTCAGGGAAGGCTCCATAAATATTATAAGGACACAAAATATGTCAGCAGGCTGTGTTTGGACAATATTAAATGTCAGTGTGGCTGAGATCTTAATGCATTTTACACACCCTAAATGTTTTCTTTTAATGTAAAATATGGAAGCCGAGAGGGGTCACAACAAACACAAACGCCGCAACATATACAAATGCGACAACACAACAAAAAGCCACAACACACCAAAAAAAGCCACAACGGAAATGACCGTGGGACTCTGTTTTCCGACGGACCGATCAATCGGCAAGTGAAGAAGAAGAACTACAACGTGAAACGAATAATGATAAAACAATAAATTACTTTTACTTACGTTTCCAACTTCTCCGTTCCTTTAATTTTCACGTTGTAGTTCTTCTTCTTCACTTGCCGCTTGATCGGTCCGTCGGAAAATAGAGTCCCGCGGTCATTTCCGTTGTGGCTTTTTTTGGTGTGTTGTAGCTTTTTGTTGTGTTGTCGCATTTGTATTTGTTGCGCCGTTTGCGTTTGTTGTGACATCTCTTGGCTTCCGTAGTAAAACGACACTGACAAGTTTGGGGATTTTGATAGTTGGCGTTTAGATCAGAGAGGGTTCCTTTAGGCCAGTGTTTCCCAAAGACTGGGTCACGATCCTCAGGTGGGTCGCAAGAGATTTTTTTTTTTGGTTCGCCTTGTCATGATCTGCATGTAGGTCTGCAATAAACAGTTGTATACATGGATTTCCGACTTTATCATCATTCTGGATGAGCATTTCTTCAGAATATCCTGTCCTTAGTAGGGTCAGTATTTCTATGCTTATTCCTTTCACTACCACATAAATGTGTGAATTGGGATTTTCTGTGCTCACAAAACTGAAGACAAAGCACAGAAACAGACGAAATGCTGCGTCTCATCTGCGTTTTCTCTTCTTCTGCACCACAGACTGGAACGCGCTACAAAAACAAAGACAGGCCCACCTATCTCATTAGAAAAGTTGAAATGTTAAGACATGTTTTGTATAATTTCTAATCTTTTTGTAATTATTGAATTGACTATTTTGTCCCAATATTGTTGGTTCCATAGAATGTTGATAAGAAAAAGAAATGGGCTGCATTTAATGTCCAAATAGGCGACTTATCCTTTTATTGCTGGTTCAATTACTGTTTTTCATTGTTTAAAACTTGAGTAATACTAATTGTTCAGAGAGACACGATCACTCGGACAACAATAAATAAGAAAAACAGAATAATTTTAGAAGGTAAAACCAACCTTACATTTGAAGGATTTATGTCTGAGCAGCAGCAGCGAGTTGTATTTCCTGATAGAAAGCTCGGCAGCGGCGGACTGATATGAGAAAATAGTCCCTCAACATGCGACGATTCATGCGATGCAAGGTTAGTTTGATTTCAAACATTATTCTATCAACACAGACATTCGCATCGACAGTCTGGTGTAATAATAGTTTTGCTTCGGGTGTTTTGTGGAGTGGGTAAGACTGTTTTTAGTGGCAGAATAACTATGGACATTGACATGCACTAGTCTAGCACCAGTGACCTCTGCAAATACAAGAACTGGATGGAATATTTTAAAAAGTGTCTCCACACGTCTCCAACACTCTGGCTAACTGGAAAATGAGGTCCTATGTCCAAAATTCTGAACTGACCCTTCACTTGGGTCTCCTTACCCCATGTTTACTACCCAAAGTATGACACACGATAAAGCCAAAACTCGGCCTGATCCCAAAAACAGTCACACGAGTTAAAAATTGGCTCAAAAGGGCTAAAAATCACACAGTGTAAGCTTGGCTTTAGTCCATTTCTTTATCCAGTCTGTTTTAGCCGTAGGACTGAGCAACCCAACCTCTTGTTATATTTATCACAGCTAATCTCAAAGGAATATATTGACCCAGCTGTATTACTTACAGTAGACAGTTGTTGCCATTCTAGTAGTTACTAAACCACTTAATTATAGAAAGGGTGTGTAGAATTACAAAAACACTGCCAGGCCAAAGATGTTCATTTGTGTTCTTATTAGGGATGGGCATGATTAGTCGATTAATCGATAATTGATCATTAAGAATTTCATCGATTACGTTCATTTTAATCGACAAACCGAATGTAGGTTGCTGTGTGTATCGTGACCAACACACGATGACTTGTACAAGAAATTCCACACTTTCCGTTGCGTTCGGGACAAGTGTGAGTCCATGTGCACAGTGTATAAAGCAGCACATATGTTTCTGTGTCCAGTGGGAAAAAGTTTTACCAGGTGAGAGTCGCTCAATGTCGATGACGAGTCCCCACCTCCCTCCCCCCGTACGGTGTCCTGGTTTTGACAAACGCAAATCTGGTCACACTAACCTGTATTCACCTGAATCATGTCTTTTAATCTGACAGAAATTGAACCGCATCAGCGACACAAGAGCTGTAGTTTTATCTTCGCTTAGTTTATGCAAATTAGTGATGCGGTTTTAAGTTTCGTTTCTGTGAGAGTTGAACAAAACTGAATTAAACACATTATAATGTCAAACGGGCTGATGTGGCTCTAGAGTCGTTACGGTTTATATGTTGTAAAGTTGAATTTATTTATGCAGATTAGTAGTGCAGATAGTAATAATAATGATGATAATTTTAATATAAAAACGTTAATGATTAATCAATAATCGATCGTTAATTCTTCCGACGATCGATTAACAAAATTTCATCGAATGCCCATCCCTGCTTCTTATGTGCTTTAACTTGGGTTCTTTTTAAAAACAATACAGTAAGGTGTATTTACCTTGTTGACAAGTTTCGACTGCTGCTGCATCTTCAGAACTGTCACCGGTGTTGGTGGTGACGTGTCTCATATCAGCTGTTGTTACTTCCTGTAGGCGTGGTCAGGTCGCTCAGACTGACCACGCCTCCTGTCGCTCGATGTCGTCTGGAGGAGGGCGTCCCAGGTGTGTGAAAGGAGGAACGCTCTGTCATCTCGGTTAATGCTGTGTCCATGCCTTGTTTCTGATTTCAATGTCTTCCCTGATCCAGCATTTGAACTTATTGTTTTTCGATCCAATGACCCGAGCCCCGTCCCAGTTCAGAATGTGGTTATTTCTTTTACAGTGTCTGATATGGCAGATTTTAGCTTTTCCTGTTCTGCTTTGTCTTTTTTTTTTTTTTTTTTCGGTGAGTCTCCCTGATGTTTCCTTTTCGTGAAAAGGAAACGCGTTTTCTCTTTAGAAACTTTGAGTCTTTAAAAAGAACCCAAGAAGTTAAAAGTACAAAAACACCGGACGGCTAAGTTGTTTCTTATGAGAAGAGAATCATATCCAATTAGAAATCCAGTTGGTTTTGACCTGAAATGCTTCTCTCTGATCTAAATGGTCACTACCAAAACCCCAGCACTTACAACCAATCATGAATCAGTGCTAGTGCAGCCTCTCCAGCTCAGTGAGGGAATTGTAGTAACAGTAGTAGTGGTAGTAGTGGTAGTATCAGCAGCAGAGACATCGCATCTTACCCTCTCTCCATCCTCCTCATCGAGTTCTTCTGCTGTTGGTACAAAATGACCGACTTTTGTCCGCTGTATTTTCACCGGAAGGACATTCATTTGCAGAGTGCGTTTTTACAGATCTCCAAAATGATTCCAATCACGACCGGGACAAAAATGTCAAACGTCCGGCTCCAGTTCTTTTAGATTTAATAGCTCTGACGTGGAGGTGAGGTAAGGACAGACCTGACACAGCGGGGCAATTACTCCAGGATATTATGCTTTATGAATGATGAATCTAGGACAAATGTGTTTAAAGGACACGCAGTTTTTAAGCTTGACCACGACCCCTCATCAAAAACATACCTGGAGTTTTCTTCATTCACACTTGTTTGATTAATCCTTGAGTCCAAAACTGGTCGTCTTTGAGCGCTCCAAAATGCTCTGTTCGAATTTTGCCTTGATTGTTGCGTCAAAGATAAAACTCCAGACTTTTCTTGCACAGTTTTTAAACTCATAAAGCAGCACCAGACTCAATTCTACGGTCAAATTTTGTTCACAAGAAACATGTGGCTCTTTTAGCTTTGGATCTTTACCTTCTGTTGTTGTTTCCTCATCCAAAACATACCCAAAGTTGTGTTTTGTTTCATTCACATGTTTAATTGAGCTGATTTTTGTCTAATACAGGAAGGATCTTTAAGTAGTTTGTGGACAGTAGTTCCGTCAGAAGTGTACATGACATAACATACCACAGCACAGGGGTCACCAAACTTTGTTCACTGGGGGCCACATTTTCGCTCCTGACTGTGAAGGGGGCCGGGGTCAGGTCGGCCGTACAACAGAATTGTTTGATTCTGATGACGCAGATTATATTCTTTGAAAACCGCCGAACTTTCTTTGCATATCAGACAAACTGCACAGACCTGACACTGAACAAAAAAATAATCGGTCGCCCACTGTTCTTTCAAAACTCAACACTCTCTGTCAAGTTTTCGTTCTTTAACACTCGCCATTTTGCTGTCCTTAGCTGTACTACAGAACTCTGCACTATAGTACTCTGTCCTTAACTGCCCTACAGAACTCTGCGTGTGCGTCTACTGTCACTGTTTGATCTTGAGGTGACGAAAATTTGGTGGCAAATGTAAATACTAGGGGTGTCAAATTATCGCGTTAATTGCGATTAATTAATTACGGTCATATTTAGCGCGTTATGTTTTTTAATCGCGTTAATCTCAATTTTTAATCTCTAACTTTACTGTTTCTGTACGCGAGTTGCCTTATTATAAAATCTGTTTTTATGTGTTGTTGGGACAATAACGCATCGCTTCCGCAAACAATTGTGATTTTCTTTCTCGTTCTCGCCGCATCTGCGATAAACCTGCACACGTCTGATCTCTGAAAACATCACGACACAAACACAGAACAGACTCGCCTTCACCTTCAACACTCTGTCAGAAAACTCATATTCCACTGAGTCGTGTCCTTTAGTCCGACAGAAGCTGAACCGCATCAGCGACACAAGAGCATTTTTTTTTTTTCTCGCTTAGTTTATGCAAATTAGCCATGCGGTTTTTAAGTTTCGTTTCTGTGAGACTTGCGCAAATCAGCATTAAACACATTATAATTTCAAACGAGCTGATGTGGCTCTAGAGTGTTCATGGTTTATATGTAATAATAATAATGTAATAATGAATTTAAATGAAAATACCTCAAGTTGAAGGCTTTTCTCAGCAATTTTTAGGTGAGATTAAAAAGAGAGATTAATTAATTACAGATAATAATTAATTAATCTCTCAATTTTTTTAATCGCCTCACAGCACTAGTAAATACGTCATATAATTATTTAAATAGAAATACTTAATAATAATAATGCATTGGTTTTATATAGCGCTTTTTTTTTTGGACACTCAAAGATGCTTTACAGAGCATTATTTATTCAGACTGACAGAAGCGAGGCTGCCAGTCTGCTCCATCAGCCCCTCCGACCACCACACGCACACACAACTTTCATACTAGACAATGTGTATGAAGTGCCTTGCCTAAGGACACAACAATAGTTTTTACGACTGACGCTTCACTGTGGCACCTGATTTTCCCAGTGGTCTCCCATCCAAGTACTAACTAGGCCTTGCTGAGCTTCTGAGATCTGATGGGATCAGGCTTTGACATGCTGGTATAGCCACACCTGTATATTGTATTTTCCGGGTCATTAGACGCGGTCTTAAGCCTCTAACCACACCAAAAAACAACTGCGCGCCCCGCAATCCAGAGCGCCCTATACACACGAATCCACTCGGGTGTCCCAGCACGACTTCAGTAAACTATAAAGCTGCACCACCCGCAGAGCACGCAAACACACACGGAGCAGACAGCGACCGCACAGCGAAACACACCCACAGACACACTCATCACTCCACGCCGACGAGGAACGGAACGAAGGAATGAAGGAACGAACCGAAAAATCAAGTGCAATGTGCCACTTCTAGACACGACTGAACAACTGAGTCACTGCGACAGAGCCAGCGGTCCCAGACAGCACCCTCCCTACACGCCACAACTGAACAAAGCCCAGAGTCACCGTGAACGCCACAAACAAAGTCCCACTGACCCATCCACACTGTTGTGTTTCGTTTAAAGTCCAGTGCGGTTTATTTGTGAAAAAAGTTCGAAAATAGACCATTTAATGACAGTGCGCCTTATAATCCAGAGCGCCTAAAAGCCCGGAAAATATGGTACAAGATGCAGATGTGTAATTATTTGCCAAAAAGTAATTTTAAAAAATAGGCCATGACAACTTTTGAGGATTGTCTCATAGGGTCAGTTCATGTGGTGGGGGGCAGAGGGGCAGAGGGGCTGAGGTCAAAGGGACGTGGCGGGCCGGAGTCTTACTTTGTCGACCCCTACCATAGCATATCTGAACACAGGCTAATTAATTTCTGCTCATAATGACTAGCTCTAAGTGAATTTGGTGTAGCGTTACCAGCTGTGAGGAGGTTATTAAAACTGTAAGTGGCTGCTGAAAATCCTGACACATTGCGAGTGTGGGTGTTTACATTTCACACTCTAAGTTCCAAAGAAAGTGATGAAGCTGGCTTTGAGAAGACTGTTTTTCTCATAAATACTATAATCAATATTTAGAGCATCAGAATAACGATAATCGGAAGAGAATTTGGCAATAAAACATAAATGTGCAGTGAAGTGTCTCTAAATGCATTTGTTGAGGTTTAATGGTGCACTTTTCGCCACTTTCTTGTCTCCATGGAGATGTTACTGCTTTGTCTGAAATGTTCCACAGTATGATTAGTAGATTATTGCCAGAAAATCCCTTGACAAACATGTATTCATATTGTCAGCAGGCTTGCCTCTCCACAGATCTGGTTGTAAATTAGCCTAGATATGTTTAATGTCATACAGATTTTTAAAGATGCACTACGTACCTGTAACTTTTCTAGTGTAGGGTCTGTCACCTTCTTGTCTCCATGGAGATGCTCTTGCCTGAAATGTGTTATCTCCAAAGAAACGAGCATTACCAGTCCAAGTTGCAGGCCAGATCTGTGCAGAGGCAAGCCCATGCCCAGTAAAGGCCTGTTCATACTTCATAAGAACATAAGTACTTTGTTCTTGTTCTTGAGGTGATAAAAACAAGAAAGAAGTTCATTTGGGCTCTGACATTTCAATCTTGAAAAGCTGCTCTTCTGTCGAACTGCCCCGCCCCCTCGCTCTAGCTCTATAGCCAATTCTTTTCGTCCTCCAGCCTGATCGCTCTTTTGGCTTTTTTTTTTTTATCACTTTATTTTTATTATATTTGACAGGTTTGTAAACATAAGAAAATATAAAAAGAGGAGAAATAATAATGACAATGGAAGGAAATAAAACAAAACAGAAGCCTAGGTGACACTGATTATTCTACTTTTGCATATATGATGTCCATTTTTCCCATTTCTTCTTCATTTGTGCCTCTTGCAACCTCAGTCTATAAGTTATCTTTTCCATTAGATATATGTCCTTTATTGTAGACGTCCACTGATCCTTTGAAGGCACAGAAGTTGTGCCCCAGTTCCTGGTTATTGATTTTTTGGCCGCTAATGACATGACTTTGAAAAGATATATATCGCCTTGGTGAATAATGTTTTCTGAGAAGTTGCATAGATAGACCAGTTCAGGCGACAAAGGGACAGGATATCCCAGCACCTGCCCCAGGACATCACAAACCATCTCCCAAAATACAGTAATATTTGCACAATTCCAAAATATATGAGAATGGTCTACATTAATCTCTCCACATTTCCGCCAACACATTTGATGTATCCTTAACTGCTTACTCTTTAATTTAGGTGTAATAAAGAATCGAATCAGGTTCTTCCAGGCTCTTTTGGCTTTCACAAAATTGTCAGAGAGATTACAGTCAGTCAGATTTTTCTACACTGATTTTTGTCCCAAGTCTAAAATGTCCGTAATCTCCCTCGATGAATTTCTTGCTATTTGGCTGTTTTTTTTATAGCCAGGCTGGTGCCACCTAGTGCCTCTGCTCAATTTAATTTCTCTCCTGCAACTAAGCCAGGAATCAGAATACACTAGAACCCCGTTAGTGCAAGTTCAGGCACCAGCCAATCAGCGAAGAGCCATATATTCTGTGTTGTCAACGACAAAAGAGAATGTTTGGTGAATTTTATCAAGGGGAAAGACGTTATTGCCCTTCTTCCTTTGGGAAAAGCTTAATATACCAGTTATCCCCGTTAGCGGCGCATTACATACATCACGACCAAATAGCAGCGATTGGTTAAATGATAAAAAGTACCCGCCTACCGTCGAGCGAACGAATCCTAATGCTGCAAGTTCAGACGGTTTCTACGAAGTGAAACCGGGTGATGAATCAAGGCTAGTTTTTATAGCCATTGACTGTCGCGTCGTATCGTATAGATGTTTGTATTTTCTCAAAATTTCCGCCAGCTGTGACTCAAAACCATTCATTGGCTCCAGCAAATAAACCACGTCCACATAAATAACCAATCAGAGCAAAGATGTCGGACTGCCGAGCAAAGTTCTGCTCAGCTGAGGTGTCGAACAAGCCACAAGAACTGCCGAACAGGAGCTGGCCCAACAAAATGATGTAATTTTCTTCGGCCAGCCCTGGGTTCAAGAACAAAGATCTTATATTCTTATGAAATATGAATGAGCATGAATGTTGTAATACAGGAAGTGCACCTCTGTGTTTTTAAACTCCATACACCTTCACTAGAATCATGGATAATCTCAGCCTTGGAATTGTCAATCTCTACTGTACTAAAGGTAAAATATAGCTGTATTTTATGACATCACAAGGTGGAACAGAGCATTTTGAGCTTTGGAGATGTAGAGATGTTGGCTTATTATCCAGGGTTACTCAAAACGTGCACTCCAGGTATGTTTGTGAGGAGGAGGAGGACTGTAACGTTGCTCAATTTAGGCCCTTTAAGCATAATATGAATGTTATTATCTCCCACTAAACCTCTCTCTCCTCTGTTTCCTCTATTTTCGTCCTCTTCTTCCAGGTGACCTCCCGCTGGACGTTCCGCTGCCCCGGCTGCCCCCAGGCCCTGTCCCACGACGACTCGCACTTCCACGAGAGGCACAAGTGCATCAACTTCTTCGTCAAGGTGTACGGCTACATGCCCCTCCTCTACACGCAGTTCAGGGTGGACTCGGTGTTGTTCAAGACCCGCCTACCGCACGACAAGACCAAGTGCTTCAAGTTCATCTAGCACCCACCAGAAAGCAGAGCCCAACGGGAGACTGAGAGGCAAGATAGCGTCACACCGAACCGCGAAAAGTGGCGAAGGAGCGTGCCGCCCTTTTGTCTCAGATGGATTTTTACTGTTCAGAATCATGTCAAATAGGGTTGCGTTGTGGTACTAGAATGACTGGAATGTTAAATGGAAGGCAAGGGCAGATATTATTACTATTCTTACATACAAATTGGTACTTTGCAGTGATGTGGTCCTGTTTCAGAGCTTGATTTTCAACAAAAAGGTGAGACTGACCTAACTGAAAAACTGTCTAACGCTAGAGAGAAACCAGACGTCCCTATTTACCCGGGACAGTCCCAGTTTTGAGCCGTGTGTCCTTTGTCCGAGTAGATTTATACAAAACTTGTGATTTGTCCCAGTTTTATACAAGAAATGTCCCTATTTTTGACCAGTCTGATCCCTGCCAACAGTAAATCGAGGCATAAACAGTCATTTATGTAGGTGAAATACAGAAAAGTTGCTTAAAATTTCCAAAACACAAAGAAAATGTGACTATACTGACTCACGTGTTCGTCATGAATGGTCTCGGCATAACTATTTTCCTTAGTTACGCACTCGTTTCACAGTTTTATTATTACCAACCACCAAAAAAAAAAGAAAAGAGGATGTCCCAGTTTTTTATTTTGAAAATCTGGTCACCTTACTGTTGTAGTTCCAGCTAAATCAGGATTCTCTCTTGTGTTAAAGCAAATTAAAGTCTAACTTGAGTGATCGAGCTTCAGACAGAGCAGTGCTTACAGTTAGCACCACATCCCCAGGGAATGTTGATGGTATCAGCTGCAAAGTAGCAATAAATATATTTTACTGAATGAAATATCCAAACAAAGTCCACATTTTGGAAAAAATATACATGAATTTTGCTGACAGAAAACATTAAAAGTGTTTGCTATAGTTTAAGAACCATGAAAAATTTGATCATTTTAAGCGGTTTGCATTGAGACCAGTAAAGCAAACAGCAACTAGCATTCTAACCCGCACTTCCTGATTCTCAGACAGCAAAAATACGAACGGTACATGATGCTGACTTATTTTGACTTCCAGAGCTGCTTATACAATTTATCTGTGATGAGGCAAGACACATTTTGCTCAAAAACATGGAAAAAATCGGGTACAAACGATTTAAAATTTGTTTATTTTTCACGCAAAATATTCCCAGTAAATGAAATTAAATAAATCAACCAAAAACGGTTCAAAATGTCTAAATTATGACCCAAATTCTCCCATGGAACTTCCACCTGCCCTCCATTTAAATTTCCAACTTGGGAATGTTGTAATACCACAAGAACGCAACCTGCTCTCAACCACTACAGAAATCTCATTTGCACCTGAAGACGGAACGAACAAAGTGTGTACAGAGAAATTATCCGAAAACGAACTCCGATTTGGACAATGGAGCTGGAATAACACGGACAGAAACCAGAAACCAGAAACCGGGCTACCACCAGCACCGCAGCCTGTCTGAAACTGTTAACGTTTTACGAACTCAAAATCGTGTATAGGATAAGCACTGACGTGAAGAATTTTATTGAACAGTCTTGTTTTTTTTATTATTATTATTAATTATGATGCTGTGTAAATGTGTACTTTTGGCGTGCCTATTGGGAGACCCTAGTATGCACAGTCGGACAAATAGACAAAGCCGACGGCGTATTTTCACCTGTTAAAATGTGTTCTTATGGAAGCAGGAATTCACTACAATGTCACCGACAATGCCTCATAACTGACACAAAACCAGCGGCCATCTTGTCACTTCGGTTTCGGGGGTTTTAAACAGGCGGCGTGCGGGCCATTTGCGGTCCTTTTTTTGTCATTTTGCGGTCCAAATCTAGACATCTTGATGGTAAATAATCCGTGTGTCATTCGTTCATTAATTTTTCAATATAAAACCAAAAATAAGAAAACGAAAAAACAACCGTGTTCTTAATTGTTTGTCTCCAAACCAAAAATGAAAAAAACTGATAACGGCCGTTTCCGTGACTTAAACTGCGATGCCGGACTTTTGTGCTGCATACGGACTGAACCAGGACTAAAACCAGGACTAAACCAGGTCTAAACCATTTTTAGGCCTGGTCTCAGTCCCGGTCTGGTCCTGGTTTGAGTCCCAGTCTCAATAATGGTCTGGTCTTGGTCTCAGTCCCGGTCTCAGTTCTTGTTCTGGTCCCGGTCTCAGGCCCAGTCTCAGTCCTGGTCCTAGTCCCGATCTGGTCCCAGTCTAAGTCCTGATCTCAGTCCCGGTCTTCTTCCGGTCTGGTCCCAGACCTGGTTCAGTCCATATGCGGCGCAAAAGTCCGGTATCGCAGTTTAAGTCACAGAAGCGGGAAACTGTTTTTTCCATTATTCATTTAAACACAAAACTGAAAAAATTTATCATTATCTGTTTTTCCATTTTGGTTTTGGAGACAAATAATGAAGAAAATAGTTGTTGTTTTCTTATTTTTGGTTTTATTTTGAAAAATGAATGAACGAATGATACACGGATTGTAAATGGTCGCATTTCTATACAGCGCTTTTCCACCTTCAGGGCACTCGAAGCGCTTTACAACAAGGAACCACTCACCCATTCACACACAAACATGCACATACAAGGTGGGTTAAGTGTCTTGCCCAAGGACACAAAGACACCGTTCATCTGTGGGAGCTGGAATCGCACCGCCAACCTGTGGGTCAGTGGATCTGACCGCCCAATGAGAGTGGGATTGGACCCACCAACCTTCTCAGTGGACAAACGTTCTACCAGCTGAGCTACTGATATTGTTACCCTTATTATAATATTATATTGGGATTCTATGGGAAATGTCACTTAAAAATTTTGAAGTATAAACACCAAGCAGTAGTAATTTAGTAAAAAAAAAAATTTGTCTCTACACTGCACAAAATTAATATCTTCTCTTACATTGGTTTATAAATTTTAATAATTATAATATCTGTATTTTAGTGGTTTTATGATAAATTTTACAGATTCAAAATATTTTTTCATCCATTTCATGCAATTTATAACATTAAATTATTATTTTTTCAGGGTGGAATTATATTATTTAAATTAAATTATTAGACTTAAGAAACTAATTTGAACTACTCAAATTTTTTGAAAATCCAATATTGACCAAATTCAAATTTTTACTGTAGATATTACTTTTTTGCAGTGTTTTTTTTTTTTTTTTTTTTTTTGTAATAAGTGAAGGTTACCATGATAAACAAGAGTACTAAAATCAGCAGAATTATTTTTACCATTTAAAATATTTAATAATCAATCGCTTGCCCCTGCGGTAAGATGACAAAATGGCCTCTGGTGAATTTGAGACCTCTGTGCTGTAGAACTGCTAAAACTGTCAATCGTTTTCAAATCATGAGCTGCCAAAATGTACAAACTGTTCATCGCGTAAACAAGCACGGTTCTGAAAAAGCTCCATACGTGTTCAAAAACGGTTTATAAGACGTATTAAGAACTGAAAAGCACAATACGACGAGATGGATCATGTCTTTTACTGTAAGCACCTCAGATAGGAAAGCCGCTTTGCATAGATGCTTTTTTTTTTTTTTCTTTTTTTTTTTTACACACTTCATGAATGTTTCTTTGCCAAATGGTACGATGTCTTACAGGGAACCGCGCGGTACTTAGCCGGAAATCAATTTGACCACCAAAATGTAAATTCACTATCCCTTCATCTCATTGGTCAGGTAGATTTGTGTTTTGACGAAGCTTTAAGTCCCTTTAAAAGATTCTAAAAGGCCGTTTTTGAATGAGGTTCTAGTTGTATTATTTCTTTTGAGCGATGTTGCAGTCCCTGTATATTTATTGAATATATTATTAAAAGGGTTTTTGTTTTGTTTTTTTATATAAAATCATGCAATAACAGAAGGCTTGTTTATGATCGGGGCAGAGGAATCCAGCTGCGCCACTGACAGGAAAATCTCACTTAATGCGTTTGTTACAGTCGATTACACGTGAAATGAATGGGACAGAGTCTAAAATTGTATATTATTATCAGTGTGAACATGGGTGACAAAAAACTTAAAGGATCTACAAAATTTTAACCACTTGGGAAGTTTGCAAGTTTTTGTTTGAGAACCATATTTAAGCAATGGCCCCGCTCACTCTGGAAGTAAATTTCCCATTAGTTTTTCCCATAGACTTTGAAATGAACGAATATTAAAAGTTTGAAAGCTCAGGGTTAATCAGGTATGGGTTAACTAATGACCACAAGATCTATAATTTTAGTTCAAATCTGTTTCTAAAACTTTATAAATCGCAAAATTATTGAAATATTTTGCCAAATTTTCCATTTTAATTTGCTTTGTGTACTTAAAACAACAGAGTTTGGATATTTGTTACCACCTGGTTAACCTCCACAATGTCTTTGAACTCTTAATATTTAAATTTTTTGAGTATGAGAAAAATGAATGGAAAATTTGGTTCGAAATTGACATGGATTGCAATTCCAGAAGTAAATTTTTCGTTCATTTTTCCCATGGACTTTTCAGAAAATTCCAATATTAAATAGTTTAAAGGCATGACATAAAACAAACCTGCTATGTAATGACAAATATCTATAACACGGTGGTTTTCAGTCCTAAAGGTACAACTTTACAAATCGCAAAATTATTTAAATATTCTGCATAATTTAGCATTTTAAATTTACTTTAAATTTAGGATTAACAAGTTGAAAGGCATGACGAACCTGCTATGTGGTAACTAATATCCATAACACGTTGGCTTTCAGTCCTAAAGGTACAACTATATAAATGGCAAAATTTTATAAATGGCAAAATTAAAATGTTTTGCATAATTTAGCATTTTAAATTTGCTTTGTGTACTTAAAACAATCAAGTTTGAATATTTGTTACCACCTGTTTAGCCACCACGATGTCTTTGAACTCTTGATGTTTTTCTTTTTTTTTTTTTTGTCCATGGGAAAAAATTATGGAAAATTTACTGTGACTTCGAAGTGGACTGCAATTCCAGAAGTAAATTTCCCATTCATTTTTCCCATAGACTTTTCGAAAAATTCTAATAAGAGTTTAAAGGCATGGTACAACTAGAATTCATATTTTTCAAAATGTTTAATAATATAGTGATTCAGAATTTTGTTGCTTAACCCTGCAAGCTTTGAAACTGAACTTTTTTTTTTTTTTTTTTTTAAATGGAAGTCTATGGGAAATGTGAACGAGAAATATACTTTTGATCCAACTTTTATGCGGTCACTTTTGATCTCCACAGACGGATTGTAGTTTCTCTTTTATGGTGCAATATTTGCCCGAGAGAAGAAACTAAGCGACAGTGGTAACTGCTCAAACCAAATTTAGAAAAAAAAAGAAAAAGAAAGAAAGAAAATCAGATAATTCTAGGTCAAAGCTAGTGCTAAACCAGGTCTGAAAGTGGACCAAATCATTTCCACTGCATTTCTAAACAAGAAATAATCCAAAGGAGGACAAAAAAGTTAATAAAAAGAAGTCAGAGTACCACGGTTTGAGAAAGACCAACTCTGTAACTCCATTTTGCTGTAATTTCTCCCTTTCCCTCCGTGAAGCTGCAGTCCCGTATACCTTCTAATTGCTCACGCGTTCCTCCCTGCGGCGTAGAGACGGGTCAGGGGTCATAGGTCAGTCCTCCCTCTCTTCCGTGGCACAGCTGGTTTCCTACAGCTCAAAAATAGTGGAAAATGTTCAGTATTGTAAAACATGGGTCTGGTTTGGTTTACCATCTGCAGTGCAATGTACCATACACCACACAGACTGACTGACTGACGGGGAAACAAAGAGTGAAGGCCAAATGAACGGAAATAAATGTTACAATGGTTCAACTACACAAGCTTGTCTCGTTTCTCATTACACTGCACACATTTGATCTAGTGGTGGAAGAAGTACTCCATTTTTGGGTTTTTTGGGCTTTTAAAGATCGATGCTGGGTTCTACATGTGTGTCTATGGCAAATCGTTTAGCAGTTACCATGGTGACAGGTTTCTCATTACACTTCATAAGTTTGTTCTAGTGCTGGAAGAAGTACTCCATCCAGTTTTTCCACTTATCTGGGGCTGGGTCGCGGGGGCAGCAGTCTAAGCAGGGACTCCCAGACTTCCTTCACCCCAGACACGTCCTCCAGCTCCTTCGGGGGGGATCCTGAGACGTTCCCAGGCCAGTTCAGAGACATCTCTAAGATAGGGTGAGAAAGAAGCTCATTTTGGCCACTTGTATCTGTGATCTCGTAATTTCAGTCATTACCCAGAGCTCATGACCATAGAGAGGGTGAGTGTAGGAACGAAGACTGACCGGTAAATCGAAAGCTCTCTTCACCACAATGGTCCGATACAGCGATCGCATTACTGCAGACACGGCACCGATCCGTCTGTCAATCTTACGCTCCATCCTCCAAGTACATTTTTTGTATTTGTTTGGCTTTTAAACATTGATGCTCTGCCTGGCTGTCTATGGCGAAATGTTAAGCAGTTACCACGGTGACACATTTCTCATTACACTACACAAATCTGGTTTAGTGGTGTAAGAAGTACTCCATTTTTTGTTTGGGTTTTTGGCTTTTAAACATTGATGCTGTGTCTAGTTCTACATGTATGTCTATGGCGAAATGTTAAGCAGTTACCACGGTGACACATTTCTCATTACACTACACAAATCTGGTTTAGTGGTGTAAGAAGTACTCCATTTTTTGTTTGGGTTTTTGGCTTCTAAACATTGATGCTGTGTCTAGTTCTACATGTATGTCTATGGCGAAATGTTAAGCAGTTACCATGGTGACACGTTTCTTGTTACACTTCACAAATTTGGTCTACTGGTGGTACTCAAGTTTTTGTTTGTTTGTCTTTTAAACACTGACAAATTTTGATTTTACACTGATAAAATTTAGCTTTTAAACACAGGCTGGTTCTACATGTGTGTCTATGGCAAAATGTTTAGTAGTTACCACAGTGACATGTTTCGCATTACACTAAACAAATTTGTTCTAGTGATGAAAGAAGTATTCAGTTTTTTGTTTGGGTTTTGTTTTTTTTTTTTTTTTTTGGCTTTTAAACACTGACGCTGTCTAGTTTTACATGTGTGTCTATGGCAAAATGTTTAGCAGTTACCATGGTGACACGTTTCACATTACACTACACAAATTTGATCTAGTGGTGGAAGAAGTACTTGTACTTTTTAAGCTTTTAAACATTGACAAATTTTGACTTTACACGTATAAAATTTGACTTTTAAACACTGACGCTGTTCCTAAGTTCTACATGTGTGTCTATGACCAAATG